CCTTGGGGTGTATGAGCACTAAATGAGAAAGTGCATGTGAATAAAGGACAGGGTCAAGCACACAGTAGGAACTTACTCACTGTTTGATAATAATAGTAACACTCCCTCGTGCATATAGTGTTTTGCAGTTTTTAAAGCACCTGCCTGGACCTAAAGGAGGCCCCTGGAGGAGACTCAGACCCAGGACCTCTGCACCCACCTGGGGGGGTCACAGGTTTGAGACCAGAGCACTTGGCAGAGGCTCGGTCCAGGAGGAAGCCCCCCAACCCCTGCCCAGGCTCTGGACTCCCCGGGTCCTGGCCGCACATACAGGTGATACCCAGCTTGAACAGCGCGCCCCCGAGTGACCTGTCACAGAAATAGCACCGAGGGCCTGCCAAGACCGCATTCACCACTCACCAGGGATGGGGCCACAAAATTGGAATAATGTGACTTTAGAAAGGCAAGGGACTTCCCTGGTGGCGCAGTGGTTAAGAATCCTCCTGCCAATGCTGGGGACACAGGTTCGAGCCCTGGTCCGGAAAGATCCCACATGCCGTGGAGCAACTAAGCCCGTGTGCCACAACTACTGAGCCTGCGCTCTAGAACATGTGAGCCACAACTACTGAAGCCCACGCTTCTAAAGCCCGTGCTCCGCAACAAGAGAAGCCACCGCAATGAGAAGCCCGCGGACCACAACAAAGAGTAGCCCCTGCTCTCCACAACTAGAGGAAGCCCACGAGCAACAACGAAGACCCAATGCAGCCAAAAATAAATAAATAAGTAAATAAATTAACAAGAAAGAAAGAAAGACAAGGAAAAGACGGCCACATGTGCAAACATGGCTACCCTAACAGGAAAGAAGCGATTGTGATGGACACTTCTGGGGAGCTGGCTGTGTTCTATTTCTTGACCTCTGTGCTGGCTGCATAGGTGCTTTATAGGTACTTATTATACTGTATGTTTCTGTCTTGTGCACACTTTGCAATGGCATAAGTTTTGTTTGTTGGTTTTGGCCATGCTGCACGGCTTGTAGGATCTTAGTTCCCCAACCAGGGATTGAACCCAGGCCCACAGGCTGTGAAAGTGCTGAGTTTTAACAACTGGACCACCAGGGAAGTCCCTGGCATAGGTTTTTTTTGTTTTGTTTTTTGTTTTTTGGTTTTTTGCGGTACGCAGGCCTCTCACTGTTGTGGCCTCTCCCGCTGCGGAGCACAGGCTCCGGACGCACAGGCTCAGCGGCCATGGCTCATGGGCCCAGCCGCTCCGCGGCATGTGGGATCTTCCCAGACCGGGGCAAGAACCTGCGTCCCCTGCATTGGCAGGCGGACTCTCAACCACTGCGCCACCAGGGAAGCCCCCATAGGTTTTTTAAAAAAAATAATCTGAGGGCTTCCCTGGTGGCGCAGTGGTTGAGAGTCCGCCTGCCGATGCAGGGGACACGGGTTCGTGCCCAGGAGCGGCTGGGCCCATGAGCCATGGCCGCTGAGCCTGCGCGTCTGGAGCCTGTGCTCCACAACGGGAGAGGCCACAACAGTGAGAGGCCCGCGTACCGCATTAAAGAAAAAAAAAAAAAAAAATCTGACAGGAGAGGGAGTTAATAGAAGTCAGCTTTGCACAGTGCACGTGCTTGGGGGTGACAGAGGTGTCCTAGAGGTGGCCAATGCAGGGATCTGGGCTGAAGCCACCAGCACCTCCCCCTCTGCCCCCCCCACACACACGCTGGGCTGCACCCTTGCTGCTCGCTTCCCACAGGAGGGCCTGCACCCTGGGAGCACACTCACATGAGAGCACATGTGATGTGACTATGCCTGGGGCACCCACCTCCCCCCGACAGACCCACCTGTGAACAAGACCCCTCTGTTTGAGCTGGGTCCCCTCAGCCAGGCACCCCGGCACAGCACCCCACAGGCCCACCTCCTGCCCCACCTGGAGGCTGGACCTTTACTGGCTGCTGGGAGGGGCTCAGGGGTGGCCCCTAGCCTCAACCACTCCTGACAGCCGGGGGGCAGCTGGGATGGTCCACTCAGGCTCCCTGGGGAGGGCTTTCCTGCCAGACCACCTGCTCTGCCCCATGGCCACAGGCACCGGCTCCCTGGCCCACTCACGGACGGTGACCAAGTGGCCTATGATTAGTCGACTGGGCGCTGGGTTCAGATGCAGATCGGGTTCACATACCAGCTCCATCTGGCTGGGAGCTTGAGCAGAAATCCCACTTTCCTGAGTCTGTTCACTCTCCTCTAAAATGGGGGAACTACTTCTTACCCCATTTTGCAGATGGGGAAACAGAGGCAGAGAGAAGGGACTTGGCACAGATTTTACAACTAAGCAGCGGGGCTGGGATTTGAGGCCGGGCAGTACACAGGCCTCCACCCTCTGCTCATCCACACACTTCTGGGCAGCAGCAGCCCCTGTTACCTCAGATGCCACTTCGCTGTCTGCCCACCTTGCGCCAGTCTAGGCCCAAGGTGTCTGCTTCAGACCTGGGATAGCTGAGGGCCCCCTGCACAGACCCAGACACACAGACACATGGCCCACCCTGCAGGGCGCCAGGGAAGCTTGGCCCAGGAGGAGGCAGGCGGGGAGACTAGGAGAGGCCTCGCAGGAGGTACAGTCTGGGCGCCTGCTTGGCCACTGCCAGAGGGAAAGCCAGTGCCCGCCACCACTGCCAGGCTGCCTGGGTGCTGGCATGGGCCTGTGAAAAATGCCAACCAGTCTGGGGCTTTGGGCCAGCTGACTCCGCTCAGGACTAGGGCCTGGCCCAGTTGGGCACCTCCGGCCCCTGCAATGCCACCACCCCGACCCCCAGCAAGGCCAGTCCCCTCAGCTTACCCCCAGCCCCGCCCTGGCAGGACAGCCTGAGAGCACATGGACCACTTAGAGTGGGTTGAGAGAGCCCCTGATGGAGCTAGGTCCTGGGCTACCTTTTGCCCCTAGGTGTGAGGGGACATGGCCCAGCCTCCGAATAGAGGAGCAACTTTGAGGCGCCAGAGCTGGGAGCCCAGGGCAAGGTGACAGCTGGGGTGTCGGAAGTGCAAGTTGGAGGCCCAAGGAGTGCATCGCCTAAAATGGCACAGCCCATGTCAGTAGGCTCCCTGCCAACTGCTCACAACAGCACCACCTGCCAGGGTGGGAATTTGGGGGAGGCCAGTTGAAGAGGAGGCCAGGCACCTGCGGGTCAGACATCTTCTGAACATGCAGCTGTGCTAAAGGCCCCTCAAGCCACCCCCTCAGCCCTCTACCTGGGCTGGGGTCCAGGCCCCAACTCCTGGCATTTCCCAGGCCTACCTCTCTGGGTCTCCTGTACTCGGCTCCCCACCAAGCCCCCTGCGCCCAGGCCCCACCTCCAGGCTCATCCGCCCACCTGAGGAATGGAGAGTGCTTACTAACCTCCAGGTACCCTTTTTGCACTCCTGCCCCCACCGCACCCTAAGCAGCTCCCCCTCCCCCAGATTCTGTCCCTAAAGTTAGAGTCAGTGCAGATGGAGCAGAGCAGGAGATGGAGGTGAAGCTGGGAGGGACTTGTGCAGCAGGTGGACCCTGGCTGAGCCTTCAAGAAACAGCAGGGACTCTTGGACAGGCTGAACATGGGGTGACCCATCCCTGTGTGTCACCATCCTTCATGGAAGGGAGGCTCAGGCCCACTTTTGCAAGCCCAGACTCAGTTGGGGGCAAAGGGCCGTCTCCTGGTGTGATCCTTGCGGTCTCCAGGGTTAGATGGGTTAATAGCCCAGCTCCTCTCGTGGACACGCCTGCCTGTGGGATACAGTGATACAGTCCTGATACAGTCTGCTACACTGTCCCCTGGCCACTTGCCTCTGTAATACTGTCTCCTTCCTGTAACATAGTAACTCATTCAGAGCCTCCCCAGCCAGCCACGCCCACATTTCTGGGCCTGGCTCACCCCCACCCCCACACCCAGCTGTGTTTAGGCTGGGCCTGGGGTGCCTGCCTGCCCTCGCCAGCTGCTGGGGGGAGCAGCTGAGCCCTCCAGGCCTGGCGCCAGGGCCCCAGTCCCTGACAGGGGTGGAGGAGCCTGAGGGGCTAGGTAGGGGCCTGTCCCGGCTGTCAGCACCCATGATGGATGAGGGGTGAGCAGGGAAGAGGCCTGAGGGGGTGGGCGGGGGCTGCCCCCTGGGGTCTGCCAGCCCAGGGGAGCCTCTGCTACTCACAGTGGGGGGAAGTGGGTGTGGGCCCCCACATAGCAGAGGTGTTTAAAGGCCCAAAACGTGGGTGTCCTCTCACTCTGCCCTCATCATGAGCACCTGGGCCTTCCCCTCCACCCTTTTCCTGCTCTGCTTGACTTCTGAAAGCCTGCAAGGCAAGGCGGTGAGAGCAGGCAGCAGGGCTGCTGGCGGGTCTGGGCAGCTGAAGTTGGGGCTTGGAGTGTAGGTAGAGCATTGGGCCAGATGCTGGGGCTCCAGAGAGAAGGAGGGGAGGGTCTGTGTATCTGGGCTGGGCAGGGCTTTGGGAGACTGGGGGATAGATGCCTGGGGTCCCTGCCCTGAGTCAGGGCCCCCCTTCCTCCCCTAGGGCTACCTCCATTGTCTCCTAGCCTGGGGAAAGGTAAGTGGATCCTCCAGGCTCTGGGGTCAAGGAAGAGGGCCTGGTCTTCCCCTCGCCGGGGTCTGGGAGCTCTCTGGGGGAGCACCCCAGATGTTCCCTGCTCTGGGATCCAGATCTGGGGCCCAGGAGAACACAGGGTCATCCGTGTCTTCCTGGCAGGTGACCTTGTTCACGTCAGCTCAAGTGTGAGAAACAGACAGCTCGCACCCTTGGAACTGAGTTGAGATGGGGCAGAATCTCAACCCTGGGTGTGAGAACATCAGGGCTGGAGGAAGGCCTAGAGTTGGTTTTGCGGGGTGGGGGTGGGGCAGATTGCGACAGGAAAGGGGAAGGACATTGCTGGCAGTGACATGAGGCAAAGGCGTGGAGGTAGGACAGGAAGGGAGGAGACAAGGCGAGTTGGGGCGGGGCCAGGGGTGGGGTGTCCGGAAGGGTCTTCCCTCCAGGGACCTGTGGGGCCCTACAGGTGGGAGAGGGGCTTCCTCCTGAGACCTGACACACCTAAGCTGCAGGAGAGACTTCGGGGCTGGCGGATGAGGATGGGATTTCCAGGAAGGGAGGAGTTCAAGTAAGAATGGAGGCCAGAAGTGCAACTGCCCCTGGAAGAGGGTACAGGGGGATCTGCTCCCAGGGGTATGGCCCAGACGCCTCCCTCCATGCCAGGGACTCTTCCACTTCTCCTGCCCCTGCCACCAGTCTGCTCACCCTCCAGTGACCCCAGGGCACCTGAGGCCCAGAGACGGAGGTGTGCTCTCTCACTTTGCAGGGAGCATCCAGATTCAGCTCTTTGCTGCCTCCTAAGTCACCCTCTCTTCCTGACCCCACAGGCTTAGGAGGCTTGAATGGCTATCCATCAGGTAAAGCTGGCTGAGGGGTGGCGGGCGGGGCAGCTCTGTGTCCTCGGAATAAGAGCAGGGCACCCAGCTCCTGGCCCCTCCTGCCCCCCAGGCTCAACTTCCCGTTTCCCCCACAGGCTATGGCCCCCCCAGTGGTCTAGGAGCAGGTAAGGCATGGGCAAATGGGATTTGGGTCTGGGGGAGACAGCCATCTCAGAAACACTTGAGGACCACACTGCTGCACTTTCCCCCCCACCCCAGCCCTGGGTGGAGAAGCCCGCCCACCACCCTTCCTGCAGGCCTTGTCCTTTCCCTCCTACACACCGCTCCCCTGCCCCAGGAATCCACCAAGGCGGTTCTGTTGTCTCACCATGTACACGCCCCGGGGGTACAACTCTTTCCTGTCCCTGCTTGTTCCCCGGTTGCCCACAGAACCCAACTCCAGGGCGGGCAAGCCCAGCTCACTGCGAGGCCCTGGGCCAGCTCAGAGCCAAAAGAAGGAAGGAAGGGGAGTGAGCTCCCAGGAGCCAGGGCCCCTCCTGCGTCCCCCACCCTTCTTGGGAAGAATGGACTGGAGCTGAGTTCCCACAGGCCCTGGCTCAGAATGGCTATGGGGTGGAGGGTGTCCTGGGTCTCTCACTGGCTCACTGGGTCTCCCCCAGGCTTCCGAGGGGGTGTTTAACCTCAGAAGCCAGGTGGGCCCTGCTTGGCCCTGGCTCTCTCTCTGTCTCCCCACCCTTCTCTCACACCCCTCACCTCTATCTCTTCTCCCAGGATTCCGCACTGGGCATGGGCTAGAAGCCCAGCCAGGTGAGTGGTGGGGCTGGGCATTGCCCATCCCCCTGCTCACTCCCAGGCCTCGGAGCAGAGGGCAGGATTTGTGAATGATTCCAGGGGGTGAAGGGACAGACAGAGAGCCTTCAAGTTTGCTGTTTCTGGTGGGGTCCAAGGGTCCTGCACCCTCACCCCAAACCCACCCAGTTCATGGCTTCCTCTCCCCACAGGTCCTCCAGCTCCCAATGGCTAGGGAACAGGTGGAGGTGGGGCCAGGATTCTAGGGGCACCCCTGACATGGGATCTCCTGAGACCCTCAGTTGACCCCCATCCCCCTCTCAGGCATTGGAGGGGTCGTGAAACCCCAGAAGTCCGGTGAGCCTCGCCCTACCTGTCTCTCCTCATCTCTCTGCCCCTCTCCCTTACCCTCTCCTGCCCTGTCTCCCCAGGTGTCTCTCCAGAGTTTAGGAATGGGAATGGGCTGGGAGTCAGGGCCTTCCCAGGTGCTGCCACCCAGCCAGGTGAGGAGGTTCCCGGAAAAAGATGGGTTTGGATATGAGGGGTGGGGAGGATACCACTGGGTCTTCCCTCAGGCTCCCTCAGGGCACAACTGGTGACTCACTGGAGGCAAAGGGAAGGACCAAAACTGTTCCAGTTGTCTGGTTTGGGGAATGGAGACCAAGGGCACCCCTGCTCCACCCCTACCTCAGCTGGGACCACAAATGCCCCCCACCTTAGCCCTCAGCTCATGGAACCCCAGGAAGAGGCTGGTTCCCTGGGGCGCCCTCATCTACTGCATCTCTCTCCCCAGGCTTTTGAAGGGGGGTGAAACCCCAAAGCCAGGTGAGACCTGCTCCATGACCGCCCCTCTGCCCACCTCTCCATCTACCTGCCCTTTGAAGCCCCAGCCCCTCCCCCCATCCTTCCCTCTGGCTCTGTCTCCCCAGGATATGGAAATGGGCTGGGAGCTGGTGACTTCCCAGGGCCTGGAGCCCAGGCAGGTGAGGGCACCTGGGGCACCACCCTGTGGTCCAGGGAGGGGGAAGGCGTGAACAGAGCTGGAATCAGGGAACCCGGAGAGAGTTGCGTTCTGGGGGGAGGGCAGGGGCTCAGCCTGGGAGGGGGCATGAAACCTCCGAAGTCAGGTGAGCCCTGCCCTGCCCATCTTGGCACTCTCCCCATCCATTTCTATCCTGGCCCTTTCTGCCTGCCCCAACCTGCCAGCCCACAGCCAACAGTGCCACCTCTGTGTCCCCAGGATTTGGGAGCAGAAATGGATTCAGCATTGGTGCTTTTCCAGCCAGGGGGCTGCAGGGAGGGGCAGGCAAGCGGGGTTCAGGGTCCTGGCCCACATTCTTAGGGGAGGGGCTGGTAGGGGTCAGTGTCAATCTCTCTGTCACTCCCCAGGGCTGGGAGGGGGCATAAGACCTCAGAAACCAGGTGCGGGGGAGCCCTCTCACCCTGTCCCCAGCCCTGCCACTCTGCCACCCTCCCAGGGACTGCTCCCTTCATTACCCGCTGCTGCCACTCCTCTGGCTTGAGCTGTGGTCTTGGGGAGGCTCTTCCAGACTTCCAGGCCCCTCTCTGGGCATGCTCCAGGGGAATAACTTTTGGGGGGCACAAAGGTTGTGGGGTGAGGACACCACAGGAGGTGTGAGCCCACCCAGCACTGGCTGGGCTCCAGCCTCCACCCTCCTTCTCTCCCTCCACAGGCCCCGCGGCTCAGAACGGCCAGGGACCAGGTAGGGGAGGGGTGGGGGGAGCTGGATGCACGTACTTGGGTTCGGGGTTCACAGGAGCTCTAGGCTCCCTCACCGAGTCTCCGTCTCTTTCTCAGGAATTGGAGGGAGCGTGAAACCTCAAAAGCCTGGTGAGCCCCACCCTGTCCCTATGTCCCTGTCCTCTGCCCCCCATCGTCCCTCCACCCCCACCCCTGCTCCCCTTACTCACTCCTGCTCTGTCTCCCCAGGACTCAGGAGCAGGAATGGGCTAGGAGCTGGGGCCTTCCCAGGAGTTGGAGCCCAGCCAGGTGAGGGCACCTGGGGTCCTAGAAAGGAGGGAGGGAGAGGGCAGAAACTTGATTTCTTGGGGGAGAATAAGGGCTGGGAGGGGTCCACATTGCATGTGGCTCAGTTCTTCTTTCCCCAGGCTTAGGAGGGGGCATGAAACCTCAGAAACCAGGTGAGACAGAGACCCTGCCCTTCCGTCCCACCATCTTAATTCTGTCCCTGTCCATCCCTGTCCTTGTTCCCATCCAAAGTCCTCCCCCAATCCACTGCTCACATATGGCTTTTCCTCTCCAGGACAGGGCATGGACCGTGGCCTGGGGGCCCAGCCAGGTGAGGGTGGCTAGGGCCCAGGCTGCTGGGGGAGGGAGAGATCACTGCTGGCCACCACTCTGGGCTCCTAACAGGGGGCCTCTTAGAGGCTCACTCATTCCACCAACTTTCCCAAGTGCCTGCCCGAGCCCGATCTTGGCTGCACACTGCACACAGAGCCGGTCAACCCTGACCTGGCTGCAGACCCGCTGGGCCCAGTGCCCAAGCCGGGACCCCCAGGTGCTCTTGCAGGCTGTGGTCAGGACTGGGGGACAATCCACCAGAGTTGTGGAAAGCCAGAGGACACAGCCCGAGGCTGGAGGCCTGGGGGGACTTGAACCTGGCAGTGGGACACACCTTTGTGGTTTTAAGCAGGGAGCAAAAGACCTTGTCTACCTGGAGTAGGCAGGGGTTGGAGAACTTGGGGAGGAGTCTGCTGGCGTTTCTGGGCGGGGGGCGGGGCTTGGGTCCTGGCATCCAGAGCGGGAGCAGGGAGGAGCGAGGATGTTAAGACCCCAGGAATCTTCTGGGCCAGAGGGATGGAGGAAGGCTGGATCTGGGATCCCATCTCTCAACCGCCTCAGTCTCCCCAGCCCTTTTCCTATCACAGGTCCCCCCAGTGAGCTCCCCACCCCTCTTGTGAACCTAGCTAGGTTGAATGGAGGGATGTTGAAGGGGAGGGCAGGGGTCTGGGTAGGCGGGGAGGCTGGGGCTCACTCTCACTTCAGTGCCATCCAGATTTCCTGTGTCGCACCCACCCCCCCCATAGGTCTCATAGCTCTAAATGGCTTTGGACCAGGTAGAGAGGGGACCAGGGCTGAGTTGGGGGGGGCGGAGACCCAAAGGTGGGGGTTTATGGAAAGGAAAACCCCAGAAGCTAGGTGAGCCATGCTCTGCTCTGTTGGGCTCTGTCTGTTATCTCTGCATCTGTGCTCCTGATCTCTCAGGAGTCCTGAGACTCCTGATCTCGCCTGAGTCCCTGATCTCTCCTCAGGCCCTGATCTCTCCTCAGGCCTCTTGCTCTGTCTCCCCAGGGTTTGGGACAGGGAATGGAGCCCAGCCGGGTGCAACCCCAGAGCTCTAGGGGTGCAGGGCTCACCGAGGGGGTGGCTGATGCAGGGGTGGAGGTGCTGTCCCTAGCTCTGAGGGGACGGGGATCCGGGTGGACTCACTGGACAGTCTCCTTCTCTTCCGCAGGCCTCGGAGGACTGAAATCTCAGAAGCCAGGTGAGACCCGCCCTCCCATCTGGCATCACACAACAAATACTCCTTCAACAAACATCCCCAGGGCAGCCCAGCCAGGTGGGGTGGCAGGCCTTCCCGAGCCTGGGCAGCAGGAGGAGGCAGGCAGGAAAGAAGCGTGAATGTAACGGGGGCACATTCTGGGGAGGTGGAGGCAGAGGCGGGGGCCTGCTGGCCGTGCCCCACTGAAAATCTTGAGCTGGGGCATCTGAGAGAGAGAGGACCAGAGAGGGTACAGGCTCTGGAAATGGCTGGGGGCCAAGGAGGCGGGAGCTCATGCCCAGAGCAGAGCATGTGGTTGGTAAGGGGACGTCAAGGTGTCCACCTTCCTGGCTGGTTGGTGTGGGTGGTGGTGGTGACACCAACCAGACGGGACTCAGGCAGCTGGGATGGCGTTCAGGCTCCACAGGGAGGCTGGACCCCAGGAGGAGGCCGAGGGCCCGGCTGGGGGTGGGGTGGTGGGGGAGAGCTAAAGGACCTTTCTTTGTGCAGGGGCCTCAGAGAGGCTGTACCCAGAGCCCCTGTCTCCTGCCCCCAGGCCCTGCAGCTCAAAATGGCTATGTAGCAGGTAGGGGTGGGCCTGCCTGGAGATGCTAGGGAGGTCCAGGGATGGGGCCAGGAGCCCTAACCTGCCCCCTGTCTCTCCACCAGGCTTCGGAGCTAGTGTGAGACCCCAGAAGCCAAGTGAGCCTTGTCCGGGCATGTCTCTCCACCTCCCTGCAAACCCTAATCTCCCCTCCCCCTATTCACACACCCGTCTCCATCTGTCCCCCCAGGATTTGGGAATAGCTACAGGCTGGGAGCCCAGCCAGGTGAGACTGGTGGGCTCTGGGGTGTGGTCCACATCTAGGCATTCTCTCCCATCTCCCAGGCCTTCAAGAGGCAGGACTGGTGAAGGATTAAGAGGGAGTCGGGGAGAGCCTCCAGGGTTCTGGCTTGGCTCTGTACGGGGGATCACAAATCCTTGCCTCTAACTTAGCCAGGGTCCCCAACCCCCTGCTCATCCCTCCATCCCTCACAGGCCCCCCAGCTCAGAACTGAGGGGTTGGGAGAAGCTGGAGGCTGGGCGAGGAGGAGAGAGGAGGGGGCGAGGTGGTCCCCACTCAGACTCTGTTCTGAGGGTCCTCTCCTGGGCTCCTTGGAGAGGGCAGAGTTGGTAATGTAATGCAGCAGAGGAGGCTCCAAGTTTTCTGGTCCCTAAACTGGGAGGAAAGGGAAGCCCAGTTTCTGGCCTCCTGTGTTCCTCAACCTCTCCCCACCCCCCCACCTCCTGCCCATGCCCACAGGGTCTGCGGTTCCCATGCTACGGACCAGGTACAGGAGTGGGTGCTGGGGGCAGATGCCAGGGTTCTGGAGGAGAGGCTCAGAGGGGGGTCATGGGTCCCTTACCTGCTCCCATCTCTTTCTTCTCCAGGCATTGCTGAGGCCATGAAGCCTCAGAAGCCAGGTAAACCCTCCCTTTCTCTCTTACCACCCTGTGATATTGTGATTTATAAGAAGAAATATGTATGTTTAATCTTCCTCACATTCCTGGCACTATGCTCCTGAAAGCGTTGGAATTTCCTGGAGAGAGAAGAGAGAGAGAGAGAGAGAGAAGGAGGGAGGGAGGGAGAGGGATATGTCTTTTGTTATGTTAATGAGGTGACTTTTGGAAAGCCCCTAGGTCATCTGAGGGTGGGGGCTGGTTGCCAGGAGAAGCAACCATGTGATTGGAAGGTTGGAACTTTCAGTCCCACTCCGTGACCTCCAGGGAGGGGAGAGGGGCTGGAGGTCAGTCACCACTGGTCAATGATTTAATCAATCATGCCTGAAGCCTCCATAAAGCCCCAAAAGAACAGGATTTGGAGAGCTTCTGGGCTGGTGAACACCTGGAAGTGCTGGGAGGGTGGCTCTTTGTGCCTTCCCACGTGCCTTGTCCCTTGCATCTCTTTTAACTGGCTGTTCCTGAGTTATATCCTTTTATAATAAATCGATTATCTAGTAAGTAAAATGTTTCCCTGAGTTCTGTGAGCCGCTCTAGCAAATTAATCAAACCCAAGGAGGAGGCGGTGGTGGGAATCTCTGATCTACAACCAGTTGGTCAGAAGCACAGGTGACAACTTAGACTGGAAATTGGTCCTTGAAATGTGGGGTGGGGGTGGGGGGAGAAGTCTGAGCCTTTGACCTGTGGGATCTGATGCTGTCTCCAGGTAGACAGTGTCGGACTTGAATTAAATTGTAGGACACCCAGATGGTGTCTGAGAATTGCTTGGTGGTGTTGGAAAAACCCCAGAATTGGACTTGGTGTCAGAATTGGACCCCCCACTTCTCTTACCCCCAGAAACTGTCTACTCCCCCTACTTTATTCTTCCTCATAACCCCCACTCTGTCTCCCCAGTTTATAGAAATGGGCTGGGAGTTGGAGCCTTCCCAGGTGAAGGGCCCCAGCCAGGTGAGGGGGGCAGGGTCAGGCCCTGCAGTTCTGGGAGGTGGGGAAGAGGGGGCACAGGGCGCACTGGGCAAAGAGGAAGAGAAGGGGCAGGGTGGGGTCCACCTGTCACTCAGCCTCTGTCTGTCTCTCCCCAGGCCTGGGAGGGGGCTTGAGCCCTCCGAAGCCAGGTGAGTCCATCCCTGCCTCCCTTCTGCCCCTTCTGAAGTCCCCCCCACCCAGCCCCTGCCCTCATGCCCACACTTCCTCCCAGGATACATGTCAGGGAATGGGCTGCAGCTCCCTCCAGGTGAGCTCAGTGGTGGCCTCAGTAGGGGAGACAGAGGGCTCCTTTCTGGGGAAGGGCTGGTCGGGTCTGAGGCAGCCTCTGTCTCTCCTGCAGGTCTGGGAGGGGGTTTGAAACCTCAGAAGCCAGATGAGCCAGAGCCCTCCCCATCCCTGTCCCGCACCTCCTCCTGCTGTCCTTCCAGAACCCCACTGCCCAATACTGTCCCTCACATCCCTGCTTTTCCTCTCCAGGATATGGCAATGGCAATGGGCTGGGGGCCCAGCCAGGTGAAGGGGCAGGGAACAGAGGGAAGTGGAGGGATATTGCTGGGAGGTGGAGGGCAAGGTGGGCAATAGCAGGAACCACATCAGGTGGCTGAGTCACCTTGTCCCCAGAGCAGATTGTGGCCCGTGGGAGCTGGGCTTTTTCTGGCCTGGCCACTCTCTCCCCTGGAAGGTGTGTCTGCCCTAGAAGCCACCACAGGCGGGTGGCTTGGCCATGTGGAGGCCAGGAGGGCAGCCTGGGGGCGGCACTGGCCTGGGCTCACTGCCCCCTCCCTTCCTCCCCATCTAGGTCCCTGCAGTGGTGGGGTCCCTCCGTGGCTTCTTGCCAGGCCTCCCACTCCAGGAATCCCTTCAGATAAAGCAGGTGGCTGGGGCCTGAAATCCCAGCCCCCTCCCCCAGTGCAGAACGGCAAGTTCCCAGGTCAGTGCGGATAAGGGACCTGAGGGGCCCTGGTGGGTACCTGGTCCCAGGAGGGGCTGGGCCTGGCTGGGCCACTCAGAATCCCCCAGGCCTGATCTCCAGCAAGTCAGTGAGGAAAAGCCTGAACTCTGGCCCTGAGACCCCACATGACCCCCAATATGACAGCTCCCCCAGCCCCTTCCCCCATGGCAGTCTGCGACATTCCACACCTGCCCCACCCTGGGCTCACTCCTGTCCCCTGGCTTTCCTTCTAGTACCTACTCCAGCCATCCAGTGGGGGCCGAAACCTCAAGAAGCAGGTGTGCATCTGCCTTCCCTGCCCCACCCCATGCCAGATCAGATCATTCCTCCATCTCCCTTGTTCCCTGGGTCATCTCAGGTGTTCAGGCACCTTAAGGCCAGGAAGTCCCTCTCTGAGTCTACCCTTGGTATCTCTTGCTGCTTTCATATCTCATTTCTTCTGGTTCCATTCCCTGTGGATGAGGAGAGTCCCTTCCTCCTCAGAGTCTGGAAGGTCCATACTGGGCCTCCAAGGAGTTTGGGAAAGTCTGGGTCCTCCCTGCTCATCTCCATTCCCCTCACAGGGTACCAGCCTCCGAATGGCTACAGACCAGGAGCAGAACTGGGTGAGGAGGCCCTTCGCCTGAGTTCTCCCTCCTCTCCCCTCCAACAGCGCAGGAAGCAGGGAGGCGAAACCGGCTATCTCTGACCCCTGTTTCCTCTCCCCCAGGCTTTGGTGGTGGCCTCAAGCCCCAGAAAGTCGGTGAGCCCCCGGGTCCCCATCTTGGGCATGAGCTATGTCTCCCTCACAGTGAGTGCTCCTTGTCTGTCTGTCAGTCTCTGTCCTTATCCACCCAGCGATTATGTACTATGCACTGGACCACAGTGGTGGCCAGAGCCAGGGGGATCCTGTCTCAGGTGAGGGCAGAGTGACAGACTCAGCAGGCAGAAAGGGAAGTGCCCAGAGGGAGGGAGGGACAGCTTCCAGAAGGTGGGCTCCACTGGGTTAGCTGGATGATGGTGGGGGATTGTGGGAGGTCCTCTCTAGGCTGCCTCTGAGTCAGTCTGTCTGTCTGTCCCTCCCTGTCCATGAGCAGGTCACCCTGGCCCCCTCCAATGCTGCCCCCACCCCATTCCAACCAGCCCCTCTCCCACCGCTGTCCTACAGGTTTTGGTTACAGGAATGGTGGTCTGGGAGCCGGGGTCTTCCCTGAGGCCCGTGCACAGCCAGGTGCCTGGGGCTGCTGGGTAGGGTGGGGTGGGGGTTTCTGGGCTCAGGGGCTGCTCCTGCCTCTGACCTTCCCTTTCTTCCTCCAGGGTTCCCTGGGACTGATGGCTTTTGGAATGGTGAGTTGGACCCAGGGGACACCGTGCAGCGGGTGGGGGAAGGGATGTCCAGGGGCGGGGCAGGAGTCAGCCGGGTCTCTTGCAGGGTATGAGAAGGCAGCAGTTGTGCGCCCCAATGTGGCTGCTCCAGCCCCTGGAGGAAATGGTAAGAAACGTTGGGGGAGCAGAGGGAACCCTAGCAAGGGTGGCGGGGACCAGGCCGAGTGGGTGAGGGACTCTGAGACCCTGGAAGGACTGGGGCATCCTGAATGTACAACTCCAGTGGGCAGGAGTCCCAAGCCGGCTCTCCTCCTTCAGGTCAGGCCGGGGCCCCGAGGGGCTCTCCCTGGCCCTCCCTCCAGCCCTGGAGGGCCAACTTGAGGCCTAGATATGGGGCCAGAGGTCAGGAGCCAGCCAGGTAATGGGGTGTGTGGGAACGGGTCATCAGGGGTCGGGTGGCTGTGGAGAACTGGGCTCTGGGCCCTGGGCCTAGCCGTACAGCCCACCTTATAGCCCTGCAGAGATGGAGGGAGGGCACTCCTGGTGGAGGGAGTAGCAGGGGGACAGGAGGGACTCAGTGTTCTCACCTCTGCCCCTCCCCCCAGGGCCCTATGGGCAGCTGAGGCCAGAGCTGGGCCCTGAGCCCTTAGGTGAGTGGGGGTCCTTTACCCCAGGGCCTGGGGTAAAGCTGGGGTGGGCAGGAGGACTGTGAAGTCCTCTGGCGACTGGGGTGCCCTGGCTTGTCTGTGTGCCTTAGGGGGCCCTGAGGTGAAGCGAGGCAGCAATGGCCTGATGGGAAATGGCTATGGAGGTGAGAGGGAATGCAGGGCCCCTGCCCCCACTCCCATGCCACCATCGTTGCCCCTCCAGGCTGCACTGGGGGACACCCCCAGCCCTCGGGGGGGACATATAGCCAGCTCTCAGGCTACCTGTGTGTGTCTGCTGGGTGACTGGCCTCAGAGCCCAGGGGAGGGAGAGGACTCATGTCCCCCAGGAGGTAAGGAGGGAGACAGGGCTCACCACGGCCCTGCTCTGCCTCTTCCCAGGCTGCTGCCCTCTTGGGAAATGCTGAGCTCCAGAGCAGATTTACTGCCCACTCTGAGCTCCTCTGTATCAGAGCCTGGTCTGCCTGGCGAGGCTGGCCAGACCCTTGGGCTTGGCCTCTGGCCTGGGGTCTCCTGTGGGCTGGAACTATCAATAAAGGCAATGTGCTTCCCTGTTTGCCTCTGTGGGCTGTGTGCAGGGGATCACTGGCTGGGTTGGGGGCCAGCTGGGGGCCCCTTATTCATTCCTTCAACAAACATCAACACAGCTGTGTGCCAGGGGCTGTGCTCCAGATGGGAGAGATGTGAGAACTCAGGCCTGCCCTTGGGGAAGGGGGCATCACGTGGTCACAATCTGGCGATGGAGCCATGTCCAAGTTAGGGGACTTGTGTGTCATTTGTGTTTTAATTTATAATTAACTTATTAAAATGATCCAACTAAAAATCTCATTTTCCTTAAGCCATTATACTTGCTTCCAGACCTCATTTTATTGATTGACCTTATAATTTGGATGTAAAACTCACTTCACATTCTTTGATTAGCACTCAATTAGATTATAAATTTGACAGATCAGCTTCTCCCTAAATATTTAGCATGTTTTACAAGCTTGATTAATTCAATTCCCTTAGACACTTCAAACAATTACACACATAATCTACTTGATCTCTTAACAGGGTGAGGGGGTGGCGTACGTGTGTACAAATCCAACTAGCAACTTCTTCCTAAGCACTTAAGGGGCTTTTGGAAATGAGCCCCTCTTGGAAATGAATAAATCAGACATTTAATATCTCAGATTACTGAACACTTTCAAACATTTTAAAAAGCCAGTTACTAATCCAATGTCAGTAATCAGTGCTACTGGATTGCTTCATTTTCTCATCCCGTGATTATAAGTTTAATCACCCAGAAATGTGGAAGCAAATTACTCTCCTAGGATGGGTCCAGAATGGAGGTTGCACAATTGGGGATTGATCTGCTGTTCTGAACTTTGACCAAGGGCTTGGCTAGTCCTGGAACCAGTCTCTTTGAGACTCTGTTCTGAGCTGTGCCTTCCCAAGCCTACACCTTTTGCAATCTGGTGAAGTTTTGTCTTAACTGAAGAATTCCAGCTGAATAGAGTTGATGGGATTTGGCACCCTATGAGGAACTCAGCTTGTCTTTCTGTGGCCTGATTTAGGATAACAAGTGTAGACCAAAATCTGACTGCAGTATGCACAAGGTTTTGGGTTGAACAACCTTGAGGAGGTTGTGTAAACATTATTGGAATTCCAGACTGATTTCTCTTAGCCTACCTCATTTAATTTGCTCTATTTGAGAATCATTATAGACTTTTGCTTTTTCACAGAAGTATTGATTCTTTAAAAATATAATCTTGGGCTTCCCTGGTGGTGCAGTGGTTGAGAGTCCGCCTGCCAATGCAGAGGACATGGGTTCAAGCCCTGTTCTGAAAGATCCCACATGCCGCGAGCAGCTAGACTCATGTGCCACAGCTGTTGAGCCTGTGCTCTGGAGCCTGTGAGCCACAACTGCTGAGCCCACATGCTGCAACTGCTGAAGCCCGCGCGCCTGGAGCCCGTGTTCCACAGCAAGAGAGACCACAGCGGTGGGAGGCCCGCGCACCACAACGAAGAGTGGCCCCTGCTCTCCACAGCTGGAGAGGGCCCGTGGACAGCAATGAAGACCCAACACAGCCAAAAATAAACTAAATAAGTAAATTTATTAAAAATAAATAAATCCTGGATGTCATTTATTTTTGTCATTTCTTTAAAAAAAAAAATCATCTTGTGTTTCTCTGACCTGAGGTGTGGAATAACCCACATCGTCTCTTTACTGGAGAACAGAATTAAGAGGAGCATTTGGGCACAGGGGCCACAGAGAAGATGGTCTCAGTGAGGGCAGTGGATGATATCCTTTCTAACCCACTGAGAAATGTTCTAATATATTTTTAAATTAATTTATTTTATTTTTGGCCGCACTGGGTATTCATTGTTGCATCCAGGCTTTCTCTAGTTGCAGCAAATGGGGGCTACTCTTTGTTGCGGTGCTCGGCGTCTCATTGTGGTGGCTTCTCTTGTTGCGGAGCAAGGGCTCTAGGCGCGTCAGCTTCAGTAATTGTGGGTAGTTGTGGCTTGCGTGCTCTAGAGAGCAGGCTCAGTAGTTGTGGTGCTCGGGCTTAGTTGCTCCGCGACATGTGGGATCTTCCTGGACCAGGGCTCTAACCCGTGTCCCCTATATGCACAGGTGGATTCTTAACCACTGTGCCACAAGGGAAGGCCTCTAATATTGTTTGTTTGTTTTTTTAATATATTTATTTATTTATTTTTGGCTGCATTGGGTCTTTGTTGCTGTGCATGGGCTTTCTCTAGTTGTGGCAAGCAGGGGCTACTCTTTGTTCCGGTGCACAGGCTTCTCATTGTGGTGGCTTCTCTTGTTGTGGAGCACAGGCTCTAGGCGCACGGGCTTCAGTAGTTGTGGTACACGGGCTCAGTAGTTGTGGCTCGCGGGCTCTAGAGAGCAGGCTCAGTAGCTGTGGCGCAGGGGCTTATTTGCTCCGTGGCATGTGGGATCTTCCCGCACCAGGGCTCGAACCCGTGTCTCCTGCATTGCCAGGCGGATTCTTAACCACTGTGCTACCAGGGAAGCCCTCTAATATGTTTTAATAAATATTTCTATATTCCAATTTTAAATAGATTGACCATTTCTCATTTTTTCCTGATTGTCACCCATCTGTGTTGTTTACAACCGTTCTTAACAACGTTAACACAAATGCTGCATGTCAAACTTTGCTTTTGAATTGATATCGTTTCATCTTTTCTGTAAGATCATTCATTGGGAATTTGCGTAGATCTTGACCTACACCAGGAGCATCATTCCAGAACCCCTAAGGGCAAACCCCCCCAAAAAAAGAGCTCCATACCCTCTCCACATTGGCCGGCGGAGGGGGGGGGGGGGGGGGCTGTAGAGGGGGCTGCGTGGCTAAATGGACCCTCAGGCCAGTTGGGGGCGCCCACTGCACACGCAGCGCCTGGCCTCAGGGATGGTGAGGGGTGGAGCCTGCGGCAACTCGGAATACTGTGATTGGCTGGAACTGAGGGAGGGGCGGGAAGAAGACGTTGACAGAGAGTGCTCCTGCCTCTGATTGGCTGCCAGTGACAGCTCGTGCCAGCCGGCGGGAGAAACGCACAGGTCGCCAGCGCATTGGCCTTTGATTGGGTGGAGCGCAGTGGCGCACGGCTCCGATTGGCTGGGTCTCTCGCAGGGCGGCGCGTGGCCACCTGCTGGAGAAACAAGGCCTCCGCGGGCTATGCGCGCTCGGCCCTGGCGCGGCGTTGGTGGCCAAGCTGGCGTCCCGGCTTCCTCGCTCCCGCTCGCATCCGCGGCTGGCCCGCGCCCGCGCCCACGCCCACTCGCGGTTAGGCCGGGCCCGCGCATCTCTATCCCTGACCCCACCGCCTGCTCCGTCCCTGCCGCACCCGCCGCTGCCCGGACTGCCGCCCGGCCTGAGCCCCGCGCCGCCGCCGCCGCCTCCCTCGGTGCTCGCGCTGGCCGAGCTGCCGCCGCTGCCCGCGCTCCCGCTGCGGCCCAAGCCGGTGGCGCCCTGGGGCCCCGGCGCCCACATGGCGCTGCCCGACCTGCCGCCCGAGGCCTGGTCTTCCGCGCCGCCCGCCGCCGCGCTCGCCCTGCAGGACCTGCCGCGCCTCCCCGCGCCCGCGCCACCGCCCTCGCATCTGCCGTTACCGCCTCTGCCCGAGACCGCGGTCGCCGCCACGCCAGGGCCCGTGGGCGCGCGCGGCCGCCCGCCACTCAACGCCGAGCCGACCCCGCAGCCGCTGCCGCCGCTACCCGCGCGGCCCTCGCCTTTCAACCTGCAGGCGCCGCCTGCGCCGCTAGACCCCTGGCCGCTCGACCCCTGGCCGCTGCCCGCCTTTCCCCCGCCGCTGCCACTGCCGCCCCCGCCTCCGCACTTTTTCCTGTAGCCGCCGTGCTGAAGGCCCGGCCCTCCCCGCCCCGGAGGGGCTGCGGGCGGGTGAGTTGGCAGCCCTGCCTGGATTCAGAGGCTATGCCCCTCGCCGCCTTCCCCGCCGGCAGGTTCAGGGGCGTGGGTCGGAGCCCGGCTTGGGGAAGAAGGAGGGCGTGTCGGGAGCAGCCCAGCTTTGGGGGAGGAAGGAGCAAGTCTGAAAATAAGCTCGTTTGAAAATTGGGGCCATTTCTTCCATTTTTTCCTACTATCCTACAGGAAGCCTTTTGCCTGGTCATTTGAGAATGTAACTAATTCCTTGTAGTGATAAACTGGCTGGTGATCTGGGCAGGTGGGGCTGGGAGCCCACAGCACGCGGCTTGAGGAAATGAAAACAAAATTTAAAAATACTTTTACTAGAGTACGCAAAATGTCTCATTTTCCCTTGTACAGTAAAGGGTTTGGATGCCATCGCTAAGATCTTTCTCTGCTGAAGTTTGTATGGCTTCTTGGAAACTCAGAACCTGCCTTCCAAGTCTTAAGAAGTCAAACTTTCAGCTGAAATAGATCCTGGGGTCCCTTGGGCCTGGGCGCACGGGGAGAACAGCGGTGTTGATGGACAGTCGATACTGGGCCTTGGAACAAGAGTGTCACATGCAAGGGCTCTGAAGTCATCCCCAAGGGACAGGAAAGCTCCCAGGGTGAGTCATGAGAGGAAGCCCCTGTTCTCTCCCCATCCTTACTACCTCCCTTCACCACCACCCACCTGCCTTTCTCCCCAGCATGTACAACACAGAATAAAGTTCCCTTTGTTACTCAGGTGGCTTGGGCTCAAGTAACCAGGCAGACGTCCTATCTCAGTGGGCTCTTCTACAGCAGCTCAGGAGTGGTATCAGGAAGCCAAATTGACCTTGGGAGACCTCTGAGAGCCTGGGACCTGCCAGCAAGAAAGGCAGTGTATGAGTTTCCTGAGACTGCTGTAGCAAATCACCACAAACTGGGTGGCTTAAAACAGAAATTTAGTCTCTCTTGGTTCTAGAAGCCACAAGTCCAAAATCAAGGTGTCCCAGGGCCATACTCCCTCCCAAGGCTCTAGGGGAGGATCCTTCCTTGACTCTTGCAGCTTCTGGTGGCTCCAGGTGTTCTTGGTTTGTGGCTGCATCACTCCAGTCTTTGCCTCCATCTTCATATGACCTTCTCCCTTGTAGCTGTGTCTCACATCTCCCTCTTGTTTTTCTCTTATGACACCTGTCATTGGATATAGGGCCCACCCTAAGTCCAGAATGCTCTCATCTTGAGATCCTTAAGTACACCTGCAAAGACCCTTTTTTCAAATAAGGCCACGCTGACACGTTCCAGGGCTTGGGACTGGACATAGTGTTGGGGGCCACCATCCAATCCATACAGGCAGTGTGCTCTCCCTTGTGGGGCTGGCCCACCTGCCACGCTGTCTTTCAGCTTCCCTAAAGCCTGTGTTAGGCCCTACCCCTTGCTGAATCTGAGCCTTGGGTGCCCTTGGAGTACTCACGCAGGATCCAAAGGCGCTAGTGCCTTGATAAAGCTCTCACTGGCACAGGAAAAAAAGTAGACTGACTTTCCCCTTTGCTGAATTGTGGCCGAGTTCGCATTCCTGCCAGCTTGCTGCTTCCTCTATGCTCTTTATGTCCTGTAGCCCTCCCCACTCTGAGCTGAGAATCAGACAGTAAACAGGAAGGACAAGACTGAATGTGGGCTCCTAAAGAAGACAGCACTCTCAGAGCTTCAGATGGCTAACTGCTGCTGGTTGTAAGCTGACAATTACGACTGATAATAAAGTTGTTACCCAGTCAATGGAGTCGGCCCCAGTTTACAAGTGAAACTGTCGTTGTGCTCTTGATGAAATACTCCCGTCCCAAGTTAATACCTACAATAATACCTAAGGTGTGCAGGGCACTTGCGGCCCAGCCAGTGCCTTTGGCAACCCTGGAGGTAAGCAGGGCAGGCTTCTCCCTCTGGTTTATAGCCAGGAGACACCCGAGATTAGGCAGACGTGACTTGCCCAGCAAGGTCCCGGGGTGGGGTTGACACCACGTCTGACCCCAGAGTTCACTGATCTGCGTGCTGCGAGTGGAGAGCACTCTTTGCTTTCTGAGACGGGGACATGGACACGGTGAAAGTGAACCTGGGTGGAGGGTGGCTTCCCGTGTAATCAGATACAGATGTTGTTCTGTGCAGAGACTTCCCCATGACGCAGGGAGCCTCGAGGAGTGGGAGGAGGAGGGGATGGCTGGCTCTGGAGGAAAGGACAGGATGCAGGGAGGATGGCTTGAGGGAAGCTCAACGTGGTGCGGGGTGGCCCGGCTGGGCTGCGGGCTGCATTGCCT